TTGAATGGAAAACCGTTCAGAGCAGCAAATATTTGGCCCAAACTAGTGCTGACAGCTACAGACTACAGCAAGTAGGGAAGTGTGAGCGGGAGAGAGAGAGAGAGAGAGAGATGGAAGGAGAAAGAGAGGGAGAGGAGGAGAGTAAGCTGCATAGCTGGACACGAATAGTTTTCGGTCGGTTGAAAATCATTGTGTATAAATGATGCAAGTCGATTTCATTTTCAACAGCTGTGGCTGCTCTACTCCTATATATATATATATATATATATATATGTGTGTGAGAGTCACGACTTTGTGTCCTGCCACATAGCGTGTACAAAATGTGGCAAACTAAAGTTCACAAAAGTTTGTTGCTTCATCGCAGCTGTAAAAAATGTAGAAAAATTTAGCGATAATCTATTTTTTATTTCATTTTTTGCTGCACATAAAAGTTTGAATCTGTCGCTAAACTATATTAATTGAATGCCTTATTGGCTTCGCTGCTGAGCTCCATTGCACTTATATCGTTAGTTCATTTTGCTCTCTGCTTTCTTTTCAATTTTTCGCAATTTTCTAATATCTCATCTTTGCTTTCATATTTATAGCTCATCCGCAGCTGGCAGACAAGTCACATTTTTATTTTGCTTCATGTTCATTATTGGCGTTTGTAGTTTTCTATTGGCCATAAAAGCAAATATGGCGCTTAATTAATGCTGACACTTTATGTGAAAAATTCGAGTATCTAAATCGCTGTCATAAATTGGGTGTAAATTTGACCGTAAAAGTTTTTTGCCTGATTAATTTTGCAAGCGCTTGCAGCTGTTTTAAAATGCAGCCAGCAAAAAGTTGCACAACCAACTTCAACAAGGATTGAATGCAACAGGGAACATGGCTTTCAGACCCGGACGCTGGCCAACACTTACACTCCAATGTTGTTGACATTCATTAGAGCAAAAGTTGTAAGAGAAGCGAAAATAATTGTAACAGCTGAGACAAAAACGGGCGGCAAGCAGCATCCAGCTGCATCCTGCAGGATCCTCCTTCTGCCTCCTGCTGCTTCCTTTTGGCCATGTTCGAGCTGTCTGAGAATGGCAATGGCAGCAACAGGCGCTGAATTAGCACCAACCCAGACCGGAAGCTGTAATGCTGTCTTGTCCCAACTCTTTTCCTACTCGCCTCCCTGCCTCCCTGCCTCCCTCTCTTTTTCTCTCTCTCTCTCTCTCTCTCTGTTACTTACTGCTTAAATCCTGTGCTCATTGAAAATGTTGTGTAAATAGGGTATCATTATTTTCAGTGTGTATATGTAACTTAACTTAGTCTGTAATCTTTGCTGAGTAAATATATGCAATGAGGTTATTTATCTATTTAAATCTATATCTGTATCTAAATATATATCTATATATATCCGGAGAACATTTAGAGCTTATAATGGAAATTATTAATTCAATCTCAAGCAAACACATTGACTTACTTCACTATCTCAAAGTTATTGCATATATAAATTGACTGACAGGACGCAGACTTCAATAATTTCATTCAGACCAAGTCCTCTTAGCTAATACTGTTCCTAGATGACCACCCAACCTCCAGTTAAACCAGCTGCTCCTCTCTAAACCACTCAACACTATCTAATCAATTAATCAGTAAATGCAATCCTTCAACGCTTAAGCATCTGCAATGAAGGCGCCACACAAGCGATTTATGGCTAATAAACTGTAATGTCATAAATATCGACATCAATCAATAAAATACAGGGTATTTTCGAAACACTCATTAGTTGTTTCTCTGCTGCGTTTTCTGAGTGTCCACTTCTTGGTCGTTTGTCTCATCAACAAAACTCTTTGAAATGAGTTTTTATTAGTTTTTCTAGTTGCTCTTTTTTTTTAGATAGCTGTCTGTCATTCATTGTTGTTGTGTGCGGGTGTGTGGGTGTGTGTGTGTGTTAATTAAATTTCAAATGCACAAAGCATCAAATGACACATTGCCACCCACAACAGCTCGTAGAGTTTTACTAGCACAGAATTTACAAGTTCTTGCCACTTTTTGGGGATTTTCCATTGTGCACTTGAATTGCAGCCAAAACCATCGTGATGCCAACAACATGTGTGTAAAAATGAAAATGTTTTTCAATTCGTTTTGCATTTAAAGTGGTCGAAAAGCCAAAGATATTTTTGTCGGTGCAGCGCCAAAAATGTTTGTTGTCTGTCTGTGCACTGTTCTGGTTTTAATTAAGTTTTTAACTGGCGCTCGACCAACAAATATTTCACCACAGAACTAAGCACCAGGATCAGGAGCAAGAGCTGGAGGAAGCCTTGGCCCCGGATACGATGGCGTTATAATTTACATGAACGACTGCGCCAAAGTTTTCCACACGGAAGCTGCTTTCGGTTTCGCTTGGCTGCCAGTCCTTTTGCTCCTGCTCCTTCTGCTGCTGCTGCTACTGCTGTTGACGGGCAAATTGATTAATGTGCCTTCTAAATGGCGCCAGTAGTTCCAGCTCAGAGAGGAGGCCTAGAAACTTAGACAGAGAGACACAAACTGCAATAGTCCCGAAAATTGTTGCGCCAAAAGTGTCGAGTGCAGTTATCCTCAAGATTCAACGCATATGCAGCCCATATATCCAGCAAGGACATCAAGTCAGAGCAGAGGGCATTAGTTGATGCTCTCTGAAGATGCTTGATATCCTGGTTTTGTTAATAGGCCAACACAAATAATTAACAGCTTTGCTCAGTGTCCACATTGCAAACAATGCTTTGACTTGGAAATATGATTTGTTTAGGTCATAAATTTCGTCTCGCCGCCTCGTAAAATTTCATTATGCGAAAGTGAGTTGGGTTAATGTCTTTGCGTGCGGAGAAGAGGACATTGAAAAACACACACACACCAAATTATGCACAACACAAACACACAGCGCTGACAGACTATTAAATGCTCTTTGGCTCTCTGCATGGGTAAAAGGCTAATTAACATAATAGATATCTGCCAGGAGTCACTTTCAAGTAGTTAAGAAATTAATTAAACAGTAATTACAATAATCATTAGTGTTTATTATTTGATGACCTCTATATACAATTTAAATTTGCTTGCTGGCATCAAGTCAGTTGTTTTTTTGTATTTCAAATCCCGTCGAGATTCATATTTAATTAAACATTACTCTAAATATGATTGTCTCTTTAGAAAAGCTCTGATTATTTGCCTAAATGAGAACTATCTTAATTCGGAGTTTGATGTAATAAATCTGAGTTGGCTGCCAATTAATTTCGGCATTCGGTTTTAGTTATAGTTCTCAACTTAGATCGATAAAGTTGGGTTTCCATTTACGATTGGACACCCTAGTTCCATAAATATTATAAAATAAAGAGTAACCGATTTCGGTATGCTTTTCGCCTCCCAAAAATGTATGCAATGTCATGAAACCAACAATGGACCAACAAATTGGCAACTCTCAACTCGTTGACAGGCTTATCTGCTTTTGTTAGTCATACTTTCAACTTTATACTTTCCATTTTCCTTTCGCTGCCAATTCGCTTCGTTGCCATCCATAATTCATTCCAAGTGTTTGTGTATGCCAACAGCAGCAACAACAACAAGGCCAATGTCAGCTTAACAATATAATAGAAGCTGGCTGCCATTGCAAGATCCCTCGTCACACCCCTAAGCCCCCTATTGTGGTTGCAGATGGTTGGCAATAAATGTAAATTGTCGTAACGCGCCGTTACGTTTTACGTTACGCTTGCGATACGTATACGCAATTTTTTGTAACGACAGCGCAATGTAAAATTTTGCACTTTTGCAAATTCTGCTTTAAATCAACAGACTCTGGCAAGGAGCGTGCTCAAAGGGGACAGGGGGGGGGGGGTAGGACGGGGGGGATTAGATTGGTGTTGACTGCGTGACATTTGTTTGGTTTTCATTTCGATGGCGCTGCATCAAAGGCTGCCATGGAAATTCTGTCAGACAACCCTCCAACTCCTCCCCCCGCCAGTCAATCAAGATGAAGTATTGCGGGAAAAATGCAAAATGCAAAAGGCAAAAGTCGAAGGGGCAGCAAGGCCAACAACAGTGGCGGTTGCAACTGCAGCAGTGGCAAAATGGCAAAATTGAAATATTGCACGAATTGCAATTGCAATTGCAGCAATGCACTAAGCCCTCATATTACGCCCAACCCTTGGACAAACACCACCCCCTCTTTGACAGGCACACGATGTGCAACTATTTAATAAACAGCTTTCTCTCTCTCTCTCTCTCTCTCACTCATTCTCCCTCTCACTCCGTCTCTCTGTGTGATAGATATCTGTACAAGTTCAAACGATACGGCAAAGCTTCGTATTCGAGGCAAGAACTTTGATGTTTCGCTCGGCTGCATTTAATAAGTCCAGGCAGAAAAAGGGCGACTGTGAGTGGCAAACAGAGCGAGAAAGAGATAGAGGGAGAGAGAGAGCGAGAGAGTGAGAGAGACAACGTGTAACTAAACGCTTGACGAGCTGTCAGGCATCGTTTAATATGCCAGGGCTAAAAGGTGCAACTGTGGCAAGGAGGGGGAAGCAGCTGGTTGCTGGCAGCTATGCTTGGTTGCTCATAATGTGTGCTAAAAGTTCAACTCATTAGACAAGACCAATTACGGCGTGAGCAATATATGAATATATATGAATATGGGGGTGAATGTGCGAATAATGACTTTGGCCAAATTTGTTTGAACTAAGCACAGCTTTCCCTATGACAAACTGGCCAATTCGACCTCAGGGGTATCACGAGGATATTCCAAGCTGGATGTAAGTTTGTAATGCATTAATATATATATATTCCTGATCAGCATCACATACCCTATTGAATTATTCCCTCATCTGTGAATCTTCTTGACGAAACTTGAAATATATCTTCCTGCAGTCAGTATATAGATCAGATCACTATATTATATACATACTATTATTATTATTATTATTATTATTTATTTATTTTTGTGGAGAACGTTTAAATTTCGAAATTTGTTTCAACATGCACCTAAAAACCAACAATCCAAATAAATGTGTATTTTGTTTTATTTTTTTTGTTTTGCTCTATGAATAAAGCACATTGGCGTCATCAGAATCTAGCAAGGCTTGGCGCGTGTCCTGCGTTTTGGGCATGCCTTCCTCCTGGGCCTGCTGCAGCGCTTTTTGGGCTTGCTGCACCTGCGTTTCCTGTGTGCCGAGGGGCAAGACATGCGCTTGTTACGCTTGGTCTTGCGACACATGGCCATTTTTGTGGTGCGTCTTCGCATGTCATCGCACTCATCGCACTCCGTGCAAACAATCCTGAGACTGGGCGCACCATCCTCATAGGTGTATATGAATAACGGTAGCTGCTGGCAGATTGCAGATATATTATATTATAAGAGAGTCACTGGCCTCCCTCCCTTCCTCCGCTTACCTCCTCAACCACGGCAGCCTTTATGTTAACAATCCGACTGCTTTCTGCCGGCGATAGGGAAACATCGGAAATCTTCTCCTCAGGATCGCACATTTTTCCAAAAAAGAAACGTATACTTACAAAAAAAAAAGACAAAAAATATTAAAAACTTAAAACGATGTATTCAAGTTAACTAAAATTTTAGTTTTAAAAATTTCGTAAAATGATGTTGAGTGTGTTGAGCTCACTTGGGCAACTACTAATAATATTTTTCAGCTCGGCCGCCAGGCATTAGAAAATTTCGGAAATTTTCACGGCACACTTTGCACTTGAAAAGTGAAATAATATTGCTGTGGCAGAGTAGCATAGCAGAAACGTAGACATCCTATTTGAATATGTCGGATGATGTCCTCGGTGAAATGAAGAGCAACTGGAGGAATGTCTGTTTATAATTTGCTTGCTTGATTCAATTTTTCTACACCTTTTTGTAACAAGTTTATGTTGATATTTGAGTAAATATGGCAATGCCTGAAAATACTGCAAGTCTTTGTTAAGGTTGGTAAACAAAACGGCAGCCAGCTGTGCCACGAGAAGAGCTCTTCTAAGGATGCTGCGGGAATTGGCTAAGTGCCAGCGTCTTGTAGCAAGAGGGGATGGGAAGGGAAGAGCCGAAGAATGAAGGAAGAAGGAACAAGAGCAGAGGGAAGGTGGGCAACCAAAAACTATTTGCACTCAGTGCTCAGAAAATGGAGTCGAGGCTGTGTGCCACAAGCAGGCCATCGATTCCACCAAGTTGTTGTCTGTTGTTGTTGTTGCTATTTGCTGTTTGTTGTTTGTTGCCTTGTGCTACTTACCAACAATTGTAGTTGTTATTATTGTTGTTGTCGTTTTATTTACAAGTTGTGAATTGCTGTCATCTGCTTGCAGCAGCAGCAGCAGTATGTTGCCTGCCAATCTCTGCCAATCTGTTGGTCGAAACTCACCCCCCACCCGCTATTCATTACCAACAGCAATCAATCCGCCACCCCTTCCACTCCCTTCATTGATTTTACCCCTTTGCAAACAGTCAAACATCAATCAGTCTGTATTATGTAAATATTGTGCATGAAAGTTGCAACAAAAGCGCATCGAGAAATGGCCAACGCATAATATAACAAGTAGAACTGTAAGAGACGAGTACTGACTAGGAGCATACTCTGTCCCGAGGTATTATTTATATATATATATTTACAGCTACTTGGTTGTGCTGCTTTTGGGTTAAGTAATTTATTTATTAATGGTGTCAATATACTTGAAAATTGGTTTCCATATGCCAGAAGCGAGAGTCGCATTTGTAAAAATTAGTTTTTTTATTCGAATTCGAGGCAAACTGGTGAGATTCGGTTTAATTTAAATGATACGATTTTGCTGAATAAGAACATATGCTTTAAATATTGCGTCTCTAGCGAAATATGAACTTTCAAAATTTGCACAAAATGTGATGGTCAAGAATCAATAATTATCGATACACACTTTGTCTTAAGTCAGAGTTATCAAGGAATGAAATATCTTAGGTTTCACTTAGAGCATAAACTGTTTGGCTGTTTCAGTACCTGAGACTTTCCATGTATTTTGCAGGGTATTTGAAAAAAAAGGCATTTCAAAAAAATTCTGCTTCTCCCTCTTCCCGCCTTCTTTTAGCTGCTGTCAACTGCCAATAGCTTGACTTGCTTTGGCAGGGACTCCACTCCAGTCCGCTCCTTATCCTGTGTTGGGGAATTAAACGATAACGAGTTTTTTGGCTTTCGTTGTCGCCGTCGCCGCCTTGCAGTAAAAACAGCAAAAGAGAAAAACCAAAGCAGCAACCAAGCAAACCAAACCCATCTTTTATTTATGCGTAAAGTTACGAGAGGCTAAAAGGAAAGTCAGATTCAAAGGGGGAGCGGCGTGACAGCAGATTGTTGTTGCGATCTAACCTTAAAGTCCTCACAGTTGCATATCAAAACAAATCCCGCATCCAAATCCAAATTGCAATTTGAATTTTCTTTCTTACCAAAAGTTTTTCAGTTGCTGTGTTTTGCTTTCCAACTTTGGCCGCTGACAAATAAACAAAGCGCAACCAAAAAAATTGACTGGTAGAGGGCTAAAGGGGAGGGTTGGTATAATAGTTGAGAGGTGTGCTTAAAATGGAGTTGCAACACCGAGCAGTTTGTTTAGCTGCCTGCTTGCAACTCTTTGTCGGAAAACTTTGCATCAACTTTTAGCTCGCGTTTTGTTTGAAGTTCATTTTTTTTTTTTGTAATCGCCGGCAAAAAGAGAAGAAAAGCTTGGAAATTACTTTAGAGCAAGTGCAGCAGCAAGAACAAGAACAACTATAAGAAACGGTAATTGCAAAATAAATTGCAATGCATTAAAAGTTAATCGCGCATCTTTAAAGTTTGCGCATTAAACAATTTTATGCAATTATTATTAACATAAAATTATAAAACCCGCAAACTTTATGCCATATTTTCTTTTATTCGTCTTTGCAATGCTCTCAAAAGTTGTTTGGTTAAGCAATGAGCACTTTAATTAGTTTGCCAGCCATTTGATGTTGTTGTCGCCGACTGTAATCAAATATGCACAAACAACAAAATTCTAACACACACACACACACGCACTCACACACACAACTGAAAATACATTCTAAATGGCGGCTTAGAGGCAGCTGCAAACAAGACGCAGGCATGCGTAATTAAATTTACATGAATTGATATTGAATACACAGCAGCAGACATTGTAAACATACACACACACACATACACACACACACACACACAAACACACAATGAGCAACTCTACCAGCCCCTCCCCTCCCCTAGTCCAACACATTCCAGTTTTCTTGTAGCATGTAATTATCGTTGCCTACTTTTGAGCGCTTCTTGAGCATCTCAGTAGAGACAGTTTCGCGAATTTTCATTGTCTTATTATGCAATACCCCGTAGCCCATTGAAATGCCTGGCTGGGGTATGCTCATTTCGAGTTAAAGATAAAAGAATACAATGAGGACAGTCAATATGTGTTAAATGTATATGTTTTTTATCTGAACGAGAAACTAAGTCAATATTAGTAGGCTATTTGTCATAAAGTCGGAGGCTACAATGGTGAAAGCTATTAAGTCTTCTAGACCTTCTCGAAGAAAGTATGTATGGGCCATTTCAAGCTATAGGGCATTCTTCAAGTGGATCAGTCTCAGTTTGAGCACTGTTACTTGTTTTCGCTAACTGAGAAACAAGGCTTCACAATGTTGTTGTCTGCTCTGCTGCGCTGGCACTCAGTCAGTCAGCAAATTGGCAACAAACAAGTCAAAACAAATGTAACGTTTATGAGTGCCGCACATGTGACTCACACACACACACACACAACACGCATGACCCGGTTCAAAAGTTCATTTGGTGAATGTAAAAGTTTTTCGACATTGTCTCCAGTTTTCAGTTTGTTTGCGTCTGATTTTCCGGGCCTGCTACAAAATTGGCTTAAATCTGCCGTTGCTGAACTTTCACATGGCCCAAATGAATGCAAAATTTTCACAGTTCGCGCTTCTTCAGTTCATAATAATTAAAATTACGCGTCGTCAACAATTTATTTGACATTGTTCTTGCTGTTGTTGTTGCCTGTTGTTATATTAGTCGTCTTGTATTGTGTGTATTATTTATCACTGTTGTTGTGTTTCTTGTCGTGGCCCAAAAAGTTTGCCCTTGTAGTAGCTTGGCTCTGACTTGCCTGCCAACTTGTTTTGGCATTCATCAAGTTGACTTCTATTTGTGGCGTGACATCTTCATGGAGCTTCGCCTCATTTCTCCTTCTCTGTGTCTCCGTTGCTTCTCCCTGTGCTGACATCTCTGTTTTTGTCATATTTGCTGGCTGATAATTGCGCTGATGGCTTTTTTGTTGGCCACAATGAGGCTGAACGTTTGACCAACCATGAATTATTGCAGAAAATTGCAACTGGAAGCCATTTTTTGTATGCAGGCAAAAGAGAGAGAGAGAGAGAGGGACAGAGAGATAGTAACTGAGAGAGAGAGAGAAAGATGCGTTAAGTTTTGATTAAAAAAGTTAAATGCGACATGAGAGTAAAGGAAAAAAATACTTTTGTTTTACAGCAGCAATAAAGCCTGCGAATATCCTGTAAAACGCGAGTCGTTTATGAACTGTACTTTTTATTATAGATGAATTATAGTGTGCATTTTCAACACCATAAAGAATTTATATATTTATAGAGACCCCTATCAAGTTTCAATCATAAGAACTAGGCAAAACAATAGTTTGAATCCCTTTTCCAGGCCACACTTGCAGCTATGTACTAAGTGATTAAAATTTAATGTTATAATGGCAAATACGTAAAACAAAACTAAATTATAATAAATATAAAATATTTTAATATATATAAAGATAGTTATTATTGTAAGATTTACTTTCTGGCTGGTGAACTGAGTTTCTGTTTCTATTAAAATAACTATTAATATTAATATTAATAATTCTTTCTTGATGATAATTGAGGTATTTATAAACAAGTCGATTCAATCGTAGCTCGGTTTAGTATCTGCTGTCTAATTTCAGCTATTCGACTTTAACTTCACTTCGTTCTTACAGAGTATCCTGTGCACACTCATAATGTGTCAGCAATTTTTGAACTGCTGCTGTGCTTGTTATTGTTGCTTTCACTATTAACAATGTCAACAGTTTGCGCTTTTATCTGTTTGCACAAAGGCTGACTTTCAGTCCCGCTATCTTGCTTCCTCTCTGCCCCCCCCCCCCTTCCACGCTTCAACCCCCTCTCGTCCCTCACTTTGCTGTTGACACTCGCTGTATGTGTAAACATAATGCGATTAATTTGTTTTCATTAAACATTGGTCTTGATGGTTGACTGTTGCCTGTCACGCCCCCCACTTTGATTACGCCCACTTTCAATGATACGTAAGTTTGACTTTTAATTTGAAATGAAGCTGGAAGATCCACAGGCGAGAATGAATACATACATATATATAATAAATTAGTTTATATACATTGGTATTTATACTTGATTTTGTGTTGGCCTTTTTTGTGCACAGAATACAACTCAGCTATCTGAACAGACGGTTCAAAGGTGAGGCCAAGTGTCAAGGCCAGATACGAAAGCCATACGAAAGCCAGACAATTCAGTCAAATGAAACGATAGGGAGAGCAGACTGTCTGATTTGAGCACATCATTTTCTGAGTTCTGGCCAACTTTGAACTTTCGGGG